ATATATATATGATCAATATCATCATGCTCTATCCCTTTAGTCTACGATGGGAAGATATTTATGGAGACCACTCCCCAAAGAGAATTAAATTAAACTCTTATCTGTCGGTTCAGCAGTGTTTTTCAAATGTGTCGCCTTTGCTGATCCACACAAATACAAAGATGATGATGATGGTGTTTCATGCCCTAGCAGAAGTGCCAGCAGAGATTTGGAACCCTGAAGAAATTGATAAGAAACAAATGTCAGAGAGAAATGATGCTGAATTCTGAGGGCTCAACATTCCCTCTCAGAAAGATAAATATGTCCTTGAAATGGTGCAGTTCACTAGGGCCTCTTGGCTAAGAAAGAGGTTTCTAAACCTTAGACGAATGGTTAAGTCAGACATTCGGTCGGTTGCTAGCTTAGAGGGCTGTAGCGGGGAGCTTTGGAGGCCTGGGGGTTCTCCCCCAGGGAGGCTGGCTGGGGAGGCTTCCCGGATGCAGAGGGGTGGAGGAGAAATCCAGAATCGTTGTAAATATTCATGTCTGCCGTGGGGGGAGGGAGATAGAAGCGTGTGTGCCCCATCACGCCTCTCCCAGCTGCATCCACCCCTTCAGTGGTTGGGGGGGGCACGGCGCCTGTCCGACTGTCCTTGGACAAAGGTGATCTCCCCACATTTTTGTTCTCCAGTCGCTTGACTTAAGGAGTCCTTTCCGAAGGCTCTGCAGGGAAGGGACTTGCTCTGGGTGTTTTCCCCCGCTTTTCTCTTCTTTCGTTTCCTAAAAGAGCATAAATAATTAAAGTTTGGCAGGGAGGAAAAGCTTTCTTGCAGAACTGTAGTGGCAATAAATGAAATGACTCAGAATCCCTTCCCCAGTCAGCTTTTACGAGAGCTGCCAGACAGTGTCTGTTCACGTTCTCCAGATACCAGGGGCGCCCTGACAAAGTTAAGGTCAAGTTAGTGTCTTATCTTGGGTGGCTCAAAATCACCGCATCGCGTCTCGGCGCTGCCCGGAAAGCTGTCGCTGGAGGAGCTGCTCGCTGCGCCCCGAAGGCCTGGTGTGCTCCCTGCGTCTCGGGTGGGGCCGCACAGGCAAGGACAAGGCCACAGCGCCGGGGTCTTGACGGTACGTTCTCCAGCGGAATGCGCGGTCCAGAGGCGGTGGTTTCCCTGTTTTTTCGGGGTGAGGACTAAGCAGGGAGCTGGGGCTGAACAGCGGTGCGGTCTGAGCCCGAACGAGTGCCCTGGGCTGGGGAGGGGGTGGCGGTCAGTGTCCACGCTAAGGCTCTGGAGGGGCCTATCGCCCCTCTCCCCTGTGCACCCGCGCGCTGCTGCAGATGACGCGCCCTCCCCTCAAAGCGCGGCTCCCGCCGTCGCCGCCGTCGCCATGTCGTTGAACTTGAATGGTTCGTCCTCTCCATTTCCCTTTTCCGCGGTCAGCAGGCTTCACTTTGGGAGCGGTTGGCTGCCTGCCTCCCACTCCGTGCGGCGAGCAGAGAAAAGGTGCGAGAATTTTTTGCACCCCTCGGACACAGCAAGACCCGAGTGGGGGCCCCCGCAGCTGCCCTGGGTCCTATGCGACCGCGGGGCCAGTGTGCAGTGTCCGGGGAGCCATTTTAGGAGAGGCATCCAGGGGCGTCGACCAGGAGTACGAAAGGAGAGGCTTGGGGCTAGGATGGAGATGGGGAGGCAGATAAGTGTGCCGGGGCCTGGGCTGGGAAGGGTGGCAGTTGAAATGTGGGCGGGGGTGCCAGCTCGGGGAGGGGGCACTCAGGGTGGACAGTTTGGGGTGGGAGAAGGCTTGGTATCCTCCAGTTGCCACAGACCTGGTTGCGCAGTGTTGGGGGAGGGAAGCAGATGCAGGAGGGGGCGGAGGAAAGAGAGAGGAAGGAAGAAAAGGAGGGAGGAGAAAAAGGGAAGGGGGGACATCAACCAGAAAATAGATATTAGCTCAGACCACCCGCCTTTTCTCTCTCTGTCGGCACGGTGGGCAGGGAGCACAGCACCGGCACTGCGGCAGCCGGGTCCAGCCCGGGGAGGGGACCACAGTGCAGCCGGCACCTCCTGCTCTGGGCAAGGGACGGAGGCCCAGGCTTCAGTGCTGGGTGGCCTGGGCAGGGAAATCCTGGGCACCAGGGCAGGCTTTTGCCCTTGGTTCTGGGACTGGGGTTTGAGCAGAAAAGCTCCAGCTGTTCCTGAGATGGGAGCCCAGGCCTAGCCTGGACCCCTGGGCGAGGAAAGGGCTGCAGCAGAGGGACAGCAAGGCCTTGGGGAGAGTGGACGGGGTCCTAAAGAGTCCGCCTCAGAGCCAGGTGGTGTTGAGGGGCTCCAGTGGGGAGCCCATGGAGAGCCGACAGACCTCCGAGGGACCTGTAGTAATCATGCAGACCCAAGGGCGCCAGAGGAGCCTGGTGGAGATGCCGGGTGAATGCGCAGGCCCGGGCCATGCTCCGGTGCAGTGCAAGAACTGGGTGTAAGACAGACTGGTCCCAGGCTAAGCCTGAAAGCAGAGGGGGTGAGGCCGGCAGAGGTGCTGGGGATGTGTCCCCCATGGGAGGTAAGCGGGCAGCCATGCACCGTATGGTAGGACTCCAGATCCTTTTGTTCAAAGGAACCTCATCTTTTAAGGAGGCTGGGACTTTGGGACGTCTCTGCGGGCAGAGCTCTCTCCTTACTGAGAGTAGGCAGAGAAGCTACATGGAGAAAGACAGATAGTGACACACAGCTTAGCGGAAAGAAAGTGAGAAGATGAGGGGACATACTGAGAGAGACAGGGAAGAGGAGAGAGAAAGAAGAAAGGAACGAAGAGAGGAGAGAGTGAGAGAGGAAAAGAGAGAGAGAGGGAAAGCCTGAAGGGTGATGAAGCAGGGAAGAAGGGAGAGAGGAACTGAGAGGGACACTGGAAAGGAGAAGAGGGCGCAGAGTGTGCACCGGAGGCCCCGGCCTGGGCAAGCGCCCGGGAAGGGTTTGGCGGGGGTTTCGTGGCCAGCACTCGCTACCCCGGGGTCAGATCCGAGAGAGCCAAGTTACTCCGAGGTAAACGCACTGGGCAGAGAAATATGTAAATCAGGGCTCCCAGCGCCTTGGAGAGTGGCGCAGTTGCGCCCCTTGAACAAGAAGCAACAAGCTCCCGGCGGGTGAGCTGCTGAGGGTGTCGGCGTCGCGGGGGAGGGAGCGGCCGCAGGAAAGGGGGTGGGAGTGGGAACCTCACACCCTCACACCTAGTCCCCAGTGCCGGGCCAGGGGCTCCCCCTCCGCTTGCCGCTTCTCTCCCTTCCCCCTTCCTCCCCCTTCCTCCCCCTCCCTCCTCCTCCCAGCCGGCCTAAGTCCGCGTACTTAAAGCGGCGCGGGCGGGCGAACGCGGGCGGGCGGCCCAGTCGGGCAGTGGCAGATGCGCCCAGCGGTGGCAGCCACTGGCGGAGCGCAGGTGACCGGCCTGCGGCGCAGCCTAGCCAGGAGGCGCCCAGGGAGAGCAGGCGGGAGAGGGAGGCAGATCCACCCCCAGCGTGCGCTCCTCTCGGCGCCAGGAGCCGTCCCGGGGCGTGTTGGCGAGAGCTGATATAGATATAAGGACATTTCTCTCCATGGCGTCACGTGACATAATTACCACCAGAATCAATCAAGATGAATTGCACGTCAGCGCCCGGTGGGGATTTTTGCTTAGTTGATCCTGGCCCAAGCCTCTTGTGCAATCGATGGCTCAGGTTGGCGGCGCGGGGAGCGGCCCAGGGCTTGCCGGCGTGCGCGCCGCGGAGCCATGAACGACTTTGACGAGTGCGGCCCGAGCGCAGCCAGCATGTACCTGCCCGGCTGCGCCTACTACGTGGCCCCGTCGGACTTCGCCGGCAAGCCGTCGTTCCTCTCGCAGCCGTCGTCCTGCCAGATGACTTTCCCCTACTCCTCCAACCTGGCGCCGCACGTCCAGCCCGTGCGCGAGGTGGCCTTCCGCGACTACAGC